ATCTTGAAAATATCACGTTTATGTTCACCATGTTTTCAAAGATTACGTTTCTTATATAAAGAGGAGGATAACTATTTTCAAGCAAAGTTAAACCATCTCTTCCATACAATTTGCCAGGTATCTCTTTTTGTTACATGGTATTCGCGTCTACAGCTCTGTTGGGTTCGTAATTTTGTATGCATCGATAACGTTGACCTTATTATAATAAGTTTCTATTGCCCTTGCATGCACGATGCGTGCTGTTTTGTTTTGTATTCGTAGCGTTGAAACTTTTTTATGAATTGATAATTGTATTCGAAAGCATCATATTAGGCATCTTGTTGCTAATGATCTCAAGTTTTCTCAGTTTTTGTAATTTTGTTGCTGCTCATCTTTTAAAATTGAAGTAATTTTACAATTTCGTTATATGAGCATATAGAATTACTGTTGATTTTCTTTGTTTTTGTTGAGCATATAGATTGGTCGGAATGCAAGATTGATGCAGAAAATTTTCAAAATTAGGCAATTCCTGCATATTGTTGTTCTTTTGCATTGGCTGCTGCTTTGGTAATAAAGCTCTTATTCTTCTGTGGCTCTCTGTCCAAGTTGCTTTGGTGGGTGTAATCTATCCAACAAACAAAAATATTAGTAGACCAAAATGTAAAGAAGAATCAAAATTTGAAAGCACACAAAACATTCAAAATCCTCAAAAAAAAAAATTTTAATTTATCACAACGACATGATTATATTAAAAATATAAATATATAATTTAATGTTCATATTTATGAAGTTATTTTAGTAATTTAATATTTCAAAAAGTGTATTTTTCAAAAAAATTAAAAAGAGTGTACTTTTCAAATTTAGAAAAGTAAATGAGGTATTTTTCCAAATTTCCTCTAAATTTAACATTCATTTATAAAAAAAAAATGTAGACCAATAATTAGAGGATTGTGCTTGAATAAACTTGAATTTCTCATATCTAACATCAAAGCAAACTATCATATGAGACATTTCACCAACGGTAGCTAAGTAATACAAAACCTCATGGATGCATATCCCCTAGACCAAGGTTGATGGGTTAAGGGACATTGGATTTTCCTCCACCCCTTAGTTCCCATTCCTAGTGTTAGTATTTTACTATCACTACTCGGGTAAGCCATGGACAATGCCTTGAATTGCTTGTCGATAGGATCAAACCCTAAAAAGCTGTAATTTTTGTTCCTAATTAGTTTAGGTAATATGGCATATTGTCCCGTGCTAGGGTTATATATCACATGCACATCTTCATCCTTTGCTATATAGATCAATCCAGAGGTACAACAAATATCCTCAGACGGATTCTGTGCATAAGGCAACGAGAATATGCTCCACTCACTCTCTGAAGTTTCTAGGGCAAAAAAGAGACGTGGACGAGCCTGTGATCTAGTCAAGAACAACACGGTGAAATATGGACGGCGAAGCATGGATCCCCATGGCTTCGAGACACAACGAAACCTTGCAATTATTGACTTTGCAGGCAGTCTCGAGAGTATCTCGAGAATGAGATCAGTCTGAATGGAATGAGTTTTCTTCTCTTTCCATGGTCGGTGTAGTTGAATTATGAGGAGAGATGAATTATACAAGCCGACTCAAAACAGAAACCAGGTCGATTTAACCTAGTGATATATAAGAGAAATTAATTAATCTTCATGCATTACAACGTTCATGTAAGACTCAAGACCCCAGTAGGAGTGGACGGAGTTTCAAAGTTATAAGAAAAGTTCATAGAATACTCATTTTATTTCTAAATCATTTTTTTTTTATGTATGCTTGAAATGGATCAAAGGCTTAGTCAAGATTATAACTAAATCCAAAAAGGAAAGATAATATTAACCAACCATTTGTTTCAACAAAAAGTAAAATCAGTGACTTCAGAGGTAATTTTGATCAAAGATCTCAATTGTTTCAAACAAAACCACTCTTCAAAAATATGAAACATTTTCAGGTTTTGTACATTGCAAATTATACCTTTCATTTGCGTTTAACGTTAAAGTTTTTCACGTTTCTGATGCATTTGAGAGGCGTGTTCTGCATTTTTCAATATTAAATGAACTCCACAAACGAGTGTAACTCAATGCAAATATCCCTATCTTGATTTTCCCAAGTTTGCCCAACCGCACAAGTCTAAAATGTCGAGAGGCTAAACCTAACAACGGTATAAACCGAAACTCCATCTCTATCGTATTAGATGGTGCGAAAGAACTCATACTCGTAAACCAATCTTCATTTGACTGGTTCTCAAACAGAGAGCAAAATGAGATGGTAATAAATTCTCATAGAAACGAAAACCGAAAAGAGAAGAGGAGGACCAAAGACAAAGCAAAACGTCCCATAGTGCTTATGCTATCCTCTATCACAAAGCAATACTAAACGCATATAGAAACTCGAAGTGGTAATCTAAGGCTCAACTGTTTCTTTACATTTACGTTTGCATTTCAGGATCAGTAGGATATTATAACATGGAAACGCGAACGCAAGCAATTGGGGCCATACTAATAACTATCTTACAGTATCTAAAGACTTGATATCTCTCTTCCTTAGCATTATACCTTCCTAACAATTGAAAATGTGGAGATAGACTACCCTGCAAACACGAAAGCTCGGAAAAGCATCCGAAACAATGTTGTATGCTTAAGATTTCATCGACTAAAGATTCATATTCTAAGTTATATATTACTCATTCATTCAGATGAAGAACTAACAAGGAACTAGTGTAACAGTAATGAGTTTAAACCATCTGAAATAGAACTACATCGATTCAAAGTATTCAAATCGAAACACAAAAATGTCTCAAAATATCATTACTCAACTCCAGAAATGTCTTTTGGAAAAACTAAAATCCATTACCTCAAAGAGTGAAAATCAATGCCAATTCGATGGCCAATACGGATGAATCGCATATCCAGTCTTCCAATTATCCAAGTACACAACTTTCTTCACAGCCCAGAACGATATGAACAAAGCCAAAAGCATAATCAATCTTTGAGCATTGAGGTTCTTCACTTTAACAAGCACATTGGTAACAAACGCCAAAAGCAATCCAACCACAGTATACAAGAATCCAACCGCAAATCCCTCAGCTCCAAGCTGCATTCCAGATCCTTGGTAGAAGAATACGAGCTTATTCGGATCGTTACGATCCTGAAGAAACATTGGCATTTTCCTGATAATGTTGTGCATTGTACCAGCAACACTGAAGAAGTAGACAAAAATCGCACCAGATAACCAAAGCCTACGATCATGAATAAGAGTTTCTCCTTTAAGAATCCGTTTGATGATAAACGGAGTCGCGACGATGACCATCGCTACGATGATACCGATCTGTGCCTTGGAAAGAAGCGGTGGTCGTTTAATCGGACCGACGGTGAGTTTTGTTCGTTGCTCGACGAACTCAGCCATGGATTCCGCCAAACGAGAGAAATCCGATTGATCCATTTGACCAGATTCGTCGCGTAGATTCGATATCAAAGGACTTACGAGTCGAACGTGAGGTAAAGCGTTAACGCCAAATCGCTGGAAGGAAGATTGAGATTGAGAAAACTCGATCTCGACGAAGAAAAGCTTAGTTGAATCAGATCCGTTGTTGTTAGCGAGGAATGAAGCGGAGACGATGCCGAATTCGCGACGAAGCTCTTGAAGACGAAGCTCGCTTTTGCTGTGGAGTTGAGTTGCGTCGAAGAAGACGAGTATGGAGTAAGGTCGTGGAGTTGAAGCGGAGATGAGGAATTTGGATATTCCATGGTCATCGAGATGGATTACGCCTGATTCGGAGGTTGATCGGAGAGAAACAAGCTCGTTGGTGAGATCTGAATCGGAATCCGAATCGGAGAAAGATGCTGATACGATTGATGATACGGTTGCTAAGAGGAAGAGAAGAGATAAGAGTTTTGAATTGACAGCCATTGTCGTCGTCGATCTGAAGGTCTCTCTCTCTCAGATTCG